CGGTACAGCTTTTCGCTTCTCATTTCGATGATTCGTTTTTATTTTTCTTTTTCCCTTTTCTTCATATTTCACTTTTGCAATCTAAGCTACTTAAGGGGGTGGAAGCTCGTCATACAAACAACGCGGCACTCTCTGCGCATGCATACCGATTACGAGACAGTATCGAAAGCACGGTTACAAGTTTTCGCCTTTCGCTCACGCGACGACTTTAATTAACGACTTTGTGCTTGTTCGCGCGCGATTACGGTTCCATTCACAGGGTGTCCCGTTCGAATCATTGCACGCTATTGTTCTTCGAACTATTCATTATTTCAAAAAATGAATGCTTATGTATTATACGGGCTACCATTGTTTTTACGAAATAATATATTAATAATAATAGTAATAATAATAATGAAATATTAATACTGTATTATAATATTGAATAAATACTAATCCAGATCTATCCTAAATGACTGACCAACAGGATCTTCAATTAGGAAACAAAGGTGATATAATACATAAGTACTAAAAAATCCTCCAATTAAAACTTACCGTATTTCAGAAGGGCTATCTTAGTAAACCTTGTCTAGGAAGATGTCTGTAAAATTATATGATGTCGAATTTATAAACCTATGATACAGTTGTTTTTGAAGAACATTAGAGTAATTTATTGTCATTCATAGGTTATATTCGTCGAACGCCTTGAAATTGTTCTATATTTTATGTATTTTCGAAAGAACAACCCTGAACATTAACACTAAGTTTATTATAGGGTCTCTTCTATACTTCTTAGAAACATTAATGCTCGTTTGTTTAGATCTTCGAAATTAGGGATTCAAAAACATACCATTAGGATACATATTCTCCTAATTGCATCAATCAAAATCGATATAAACGTGTACCAAGTAATGTTTGCAGAATTCAATATACGTTAAATTGAAGCGTTCTGTAAACCTAGAGTTAATGCATCGATTAATTCTACCCCTAAACAGCAATTTCACAAACACGAATGTTTCACAACACTAATTAACAGACGTCCATGTCAGTAAATATTAAGTCATTCACACATGTTGAAGGACCTTCAAAAATTTATTAAAAATTTCAGACTTCAAACTCATAAAGACTTGACTAAACACTTATTAAAAACTTTCAAAGTTTTCAAAGAATGTTAGGTTTATAAATTCGCTCCTTAGAACGGGTTAAACACTTACGAAAGTGAAAACATATACAGTAAACTCCTCCATAACGCAGTTAAAATGCTGTTGAAAAATAACTAGAAAGGTGACAAAATAATTCAAACAGAGGAATAAGACGAACCTGTAAACGTAAAATCCCTATAATGCGGAATTTTTTAATCGCGTTATAGGAGAGCCTACTATAGTTTCATTTGAAAAAACCAACATTATCTTGAAATTTCAGACGTAAATTCATCTAGATAAAACTTTTTGGCCATTATAAAATTAGTCTGTAAAAACATGGTCAGCTTTATTTGGAACATTTTTCGAAATAATGAATAGTTTGGAAGGTAATTATGTGTGAAGATTCAAATGGGACACCTTGTGTGTTAGGGGGGTTGGGAACGAGGGTGTTCAGGTGAACGACGCGATCTTCGGGGGAGGTATGAGAGGGGGCTGGGCAAAACGCGTCTGCGCGACGAATGAATAATTATGCTTCTTCGTGGGACTGCGTTTATCGTTATCGTTACAACCGGCTCGATTGCGATTTGCATAATACACGCTGGCTGACTGGCCGGAATTCGGGATGAGCTCCTTCTTACCTCCAACTCGGATTATCAATTTTACGCTCCGACGATTTGTTTCGTTTTTGTTTAATTTCGGTTTCATCATTAACCCGTTGCCTGGGGATGTTGAAACAGATTAGTGGCGAGAATTTTGAGCCGGAGTTAATAAATATGAATGTTATGGATTCGGATGGAGTTTGATGTATAGCTTCGAACAAATACTATTCTGTGGTTATGAATATTTAAAGTTTATAGTTGACACATATATTTATGGTGACAATAGAATTCATTTCTTTGCTGGGAAGTTATTTGAAATTGTTGAAACTTTTGAAACCGAAGTATGCACTATTCAAAAAAGTAATTCTTGTAGAAGTAGTTACTAAAGAATTGATCGATTAATTAAATCTGTACGATGATTATGTTCGATTGATCCAACATGTTCTGAGATTTATATCTAATTGTGAGTTTCAATTTTTTACTTGATGTCTTTGTCGTAAGTACTTGGATGTGTTGAAAGCAACACAATATTGTTTAAAAATGTTCTTTACAGGAGTTGCATTATTCTGTAGAGACCAGAATATAGTGATAATACTTTTAACGAGATAAGAAGAACAACTTTGTTTTGAGTTTAGTCTTACTTTTCAATTAATTTAGCTTTAGATTTATGTAATCTGAAAGTAGGCTTTTCGAACATGTTTGTTTCGATTTCGATACACTCAGTCCGTTTCTTCCACCTTTTTTTCCATTACAAATCTAATGATCGTTTCAGACTTGTGTACTCCTTAATATTCCTTAAAGATGATAAATTATATAATTACCTATAATTGATCAGGGATATGTATGGATTCGCGTAATCTGCTAAAGGTAATCAGTTCGTTACCTTCTCATTCGCGTAGCGTAACAAACAAGATAAAATTTATTTTCCCTCGATGATATCTACGTCACATTTTAGTGGAATTAAAACTTGTTTTTTATATGTGTACTGTTTGTATTACAAGAAAAATAAAATTGTTTAAGTGTTTCTGTAATTTGCAGCATAATTCGAAAGAAAAATGTAACATTCAACAATCCAATACTTGAAAATGAAATATGAAATTGTAACAATATAAAAGAATCTAAAATAAATTATAATCAGGTAATTGCGCGAAGAATGTTTTATGAAGTGCAAATTAGAATTAAGTATTCCTGACTAAATTTCTTATTGTTTCTTATTGAACATAATACGTGGTGTATTATGGGATATTTCAGTTATTACTTTCCCAGCAGAATTTTATGCATCAAGCCTTAACAAATTTAAAGCTTTGTGTAATGTTCTTCTGCTCCGAAAACTTCAGCATTTTCTCTCGACAGTCCGCCAAATTTATTCGTAACCACCGTCACATAGTACGGACAACCACGATTTCGTATTTCGTGAAAAGAGAATCAAATTAATTTAGGGCGCTGCTGTTTAATGTTGTAACTTATCTGACGTACAGGAAATTGAGATAATTACTTTTTATATTTTTTCAATATTCCATGAAGAGAGTATACTGTATTCAATAAAATATTTTTAATTCAAAGCTCTGGAATGGTGGACAGTGAACTTGTTAATAATGTTAAATATGCATTGTAGATGGGGAATGAATTCTCTGTAATATTTCATTTCGAGAAGTCAATCGTTAAAGTGTAGGTTCTTCTTTTTCCATTTTATTCGATAAAAACGATAATCTGGAACAGTATATTGTGTGTTCATTGTTAAAAAAAATTGTTGATATGTTGTGTCTATGTTATAATCGTTTTAAAATAAACATTTCTTTGTATAAAAGAAATTTGTATAAGTGATATGACATTTTACAATTTTTCTACTGTACTCTTCATATTCAATCATTTAGAGTTAATTAATTATTAAAGTTTGTATCAATGGAAATTGATTATTTATAAACATTTCATTATCTTTACATAATACTTTACGTAATAGTCAGTTTTTGACACGTTGTATTGGTATTGTTAATGTTTACCGACAAACCTTCTTTTACAGGAAAAAAGGAGAAATTTCAAAAAATGATATGCATTTTATTACACAGTATTCCAAAACATAACTGCAACATAGACTATCTCACACAAAATGATGCGTACAACGATTCAGTAAATTTCACGAGCAGTAGAGGTGACGCGAGATACATCAAAATATTGACTATCCATTCTACTAATAATTCACATTGTAAAATGAAGTTTAAACAAGAGTGTTACCAATACACTCAAATTGCTTCATATAATACGAAAGCAATAACTAGGCTGCGTATCTTTATGTAATGTCCATCTTCATACATTATTATCAAAGAACCTGATTAAAGAAAAAACTCATTGTCTACAATTTTGTAGACAATTCATCGAAAGCTATTACATCAAGAAATTGATATCGAATACAAATATTTGTTAACGATTCGGTATTGCACTTTATACGTTACGAGTTAACACACATATTTTCTTACATTTCGCAAATTTATATATCCCATAAACGTATAAAGATCGCAGTCTAGTAATAACTCCAACCTAAAATTCAAGGACCACGTTTAGAGTATAATTTTCGCCAATGATCGTAATAATACGTTGCACCCACTAATACAAACGAAAGAAAAAAATAAGAACAAGGAAGCCAGCTGGGAGTCGAGACGAGTATAAAAAGATGGAGGAAGAAGAGAGGAAAGGGAAGAACCGAGAACCGGGATTTAATAATTCTATCATCGTAACAGATCAGATAATCGACGGGTGGTATTGCAGCGAGACGGTTAGAAAGAAAAGGAAAGACAGAGACAAAACGGGAGAGTGAGAGAGTGAGAAATGGAAAGAGGTGGAGAGACCGCGAACGAACATGCAGTGCTAACGAGATATCTCGTTAAGCCTAGACGGACAATCGCGCTGCCGGAGCTGTTCAACATGACGAGATCCGCGACGATCTTCGTTTCCCGCTGTTATGCCCGTCCCGATATTCGTTAGAATATTAATTTTCGCTCGGGAAACCCCTCGCGCGGCTGATTTACCCCTTCGATAAGTGAAATCGGATGAGGGAAAGCCGAACGCGTGTAATGCTCGCGGTGATTCGGTTTGCACAGGAAATACGATGAATTGAAAAGTAATATGTATATGCAGTCAGCAACGAAAGTATTCGAAATTTATGCACGCTTAGACACAATAAATGTTTCATAATTTGTATGCATATTGTTAAATGTTTTTTCAATTTTGTTGCATATATGTGCCACGAATGCAATGTGTTTGAATAAATAACAATGTACAGTGTGCAATTTTGTTAATGATAATATTTTTTACCACAATGTTGAAGTATTTATTCAGCTTTTTTGTGGTACTTCTCATGCAAGCTGTATTATCCCTTTGAGAGGTAACGACGATTTCGTGCTTCGATATTTAAAATCGAAAGGTGCAAATGAATAATTTAATGATTTGAATAATGGAAGATTCATATGTGATTTTCTTCTTCTCTGGTATTTAAGACTTCGATGCATAATTCAGCTCTTTATGGGAAAAGTTTTCAGAAGCTTGAAAACTTCTCGTCCAGAAAAGATTTATACTCTTGTAAGTACTTTTGTGTTCCGTTGATTCCATTGCGGGGATATTTATCAATGTACCTCGTAATTTTTTTAATGTGATTTTATGAAATTCTATTTTCAGTTTTATTGGAATGAAACAAATTGTTAAACGAATCGAAATGCTTTATAGGAGTGTAAAAGTGTATAGAAAATATTCTTTTTGAAAGAAAATTTGGTTTTCGAAAGTTTTACTATAAACGTGGTCGGAGTTGACAGTTGATTTTATTGAAAAATGTTCAAAGTATGAAAAGTTGAACTATAACCTTTCATAATCTTGATTTGAATTACTCATTCAGATAATATTTTTAGTTTAAACACTTACGATAGGTAACTTAAGATGAATGACATTAATATTGGAAAAAATAGATAATGCTTTATATATTTATCTATGATATAACTTTTACGTAAACGTATTATGAAAAAGCTGTCGACAGTATACATAAATAAATTACAATATCCAGAAATGTTTGTCAATTTAAAATAACTATATTATTCTAATTATTCTTTAAACCTAGACTATTACTGTTCATAAAATGTGAAACATAAATTTCCTTCTCATACTTAATAAGTGACATACTTTTATTAACACCTTCTAATTCGTTTTAACGAGTAAGTTAAATGTACCAATAACTAATCAATTAAAGTGTTGTAAATATAAATATTCAATATTTAATGTACAATATTTAATATAAATATTTATATTAATGTTTATATTTTACATTTACATTTGTAATATAAATATACTATACTCATAGCCATGACTACATAGTCATTCGTACTTTTACTTTACCACAGATGTACGAAGTTTGGCATCTCGATTCCCTGAATACATTCGAAAGCACTTTCAAAAGTTTCTGCTATTCTCATTCTTTTGTCAAATGCAAGTGGTGCTACATTAAAGTGGAGACCTGTCCACACAGGTCAGGTAAATTACCGAGTAACAGGTGGATGGTGGAATTGCTGTAACGAGACGCGTCTTCTTAATTGGCGGAAAAAGTGCTTACTCCGGCAACAAGAAGGATTTCAATTCATTATTATTTAGCCACCGTATATGTATGTGTATATATGTGTATGGAGAATTTATAGCACATCCCACTTATAAATTCATTGCACTTAGCGCAACGAAGATACTTGTAAATTATTAAATTATTCCATGAGCCTTTTTTTTGCTGAAGTTTTCGTTTAGTTTGCAATTATATTTGTACTTACGAATGGACCAATTTGTTTTGTTGTATATTTGGATAAAGAATATCTAACGACCGTATGGTTTACAATAATTATATCAGCCGTAATTAGATAAAGTATCAAATATTTCAAGTAGTAGAAATTAAGATGGAGCAAATATAATTGCGTTGTTGGTTACTTTAAATAAAATAAAATCTTTTGCTGTAAGAAAGAACGAAATTCTGTAGAAATTTTTGTATTACTTCTTCCATATTTACTAAATATAATATTTACTAACATATTTTCAAATTAAATTAAATTACTTACCGTCAAAATTCTTCGAACCGAACCAATTGGGATCGAATCTCTTTCAGGAATACGTTCGCAGATGTGGTAGAGTATCATCGATGGAATGGTGCGACAGAATAAAAATATTAGTGATCAGTGGACTTCGGATGTCCAGCGACCTCCAGTTTACGAAATAAATTTCAAAGTATCGATATTAGATACATAATTACTTTTTTTACAAAGAACGTTAATACATTCAAAACAATATTAACTCTTTACAATCGAAGACTAAGATATATTTAGTGAAACGTCGTTACTGTATACAATTAAACTGCGTATGTTTATGCAATTATCAGTTTCAATAATTATATTTCTCACAGACATTATCCGACAGAAACTTAAATTCTTAATAAGAGGTAAATTTCATGAAATGTTGCAACGCTGCGATCATCATAACTTATAAAATAATTACTACAAATCCATAAACATTCATGTCTCAACTATTATAACATCATAATATTTCGATACGTTACAACAAACTGTATTAAAAAATATCATCATCAAAATATGACAACTTGTTAATTAATAGTTAATTATTAAACACTAATTGTTTAATAATTAATGATAGTAATTAATTAACTCCACATCTCTCAATCTGCGCCCAAAAGTAGAACGATCCACGTCATATATTCTTGCAAAGATTGCAAAGAGTTAAAAATTTGATCAATGTATAACAAAATCACGTAACGAATTATTTATATCGAAATTACGGAACGAATTCGTGAACACCCGTAATCCAGTGATCAGCGTGTTTCTCGATCGAATGAAATTGGTTCCTCTCTTGTCCTGGTGGACTGCTTAACGCAGACGAAAGCGATCCATGATTATCGAGATGATAGAATCGAAAGAAAGAGACCGAATCGTTGACCGCCGTTGTTGAATTGAACGCGTTGCTTCTTCCCTCTACTATAGATGAACATTGTTTACGTGAGAGCGAACAGGTGGCAAGATGCTATCAGAAGGATACAGGTGGCGGGCGGTAGGATCTCGTCGGAGGACGCGGATATGGCGTCGCCGTCGAAGAACGGCTCCAGGGTCGAGCCCGTTTCCCGCAGGGAGCCCTGGTACACGTGATTCAGTCTGTGATCGCGATCGCCAATCGAGTCGCTGAGATCGTCCTCCCCGCGCCGATCACCGACTTTCTTCGAGTGCTCCGGCAGGTCTATGTCTAAACACACGAATCGATGGAGCATGCAATTAGTAATGAATGTGCATTCTTTTAGCACTAACCGTACAGGCAATTTGTATATGAATCGCTCAGTAGCTAATACGGTTAAGTCCATTCTTTGATATCTTCTTATTTTTGTAAATTTTCATGGAATAAATAATATTCTTTTTAGTTATTAAAGGAACTACTCGTTTTTTCGGTTTTTCTAGATCAGAAAGCCCTTCTTTTTATAACTTCTGAACATGTTATATAATCATTTCAGAAGCCAAAACATTAATTTTCTCAATTTTTCCTATTCTTATCGTAAACAGTCGAATAATTGATTACAAAAGAAACGTAAATACGTTTGACGACAAATTTTTCTTAGCGGAGATAAAAACGGAAGGAAAGACAAAAATTGGAAAATTTATTAGTCGGGTAATATAAGAAATGAAGTTAAATGAAATTAAAGTTAATAACTGGTCATTTGCCTGGTTCGCGGTACGGTTATTGTTAAAATATTTATTACTTTTTCAGAAATGAAAATATTAGATCTTTCCATAAATAATTACGGTTTTTCGATAGATCCTTCATTTTTGAAAAACAAGGTACAGAACACTTTTTAAAATCTGAAATATATTTTCCTCGTTGAATCTATAAATGATGATTATTAATTATTATTTATTTAATCTATAGATAGTGAAGAAGAGTGTAGTTTAGATTATAAAATATTTTGCTTATCTTAATTCTTTAATACCTAAAAGGAACTGAGTTTTCTTGTGAAATACAAAAATTGTGTAATTTGGATATAAGTATATTTTTTCTATATTTATTTTCAAGTGTCTGATTAATTTTATGTAAATAGTATCTGTATCACCGTCCTTTTGATTCTCGAAACTACAGCCTATACGAAATATTGTTTAATAGGTTAGTAAACCGCATTAATCTTAATACAATATCAATAAGTAAGTGATAGTTTCAATTGAAATTGATCGACATTAATTATTGAGTGAATTGAGTAATTGCCTACTGGATTGATAGAGCTCGTTTCCTGGCTTAACTGGCTGAAACCGAAGCGCTTTTAGTAACTGGTTATCTAACTATTGGATATCCGATCACTTCGGTTGACTGATACATGTCGATCTGCCACCGAATGTAAACTAACTTCTTGTTCATTGGCCGTTGGCCTCTTCTGAATTGCTTGTTTGTGATTTTCTCACAGAGACTATTCTCATAAATATTTATAAATAAATAAAATTCCTGTGCATGAGAACAGGGGATTAACGTAGCTAAATAATAAGGCAAGAAAATATTTTAAATTATATTATAAATTATTCATTATAAACTGTAAACCTATTATAAATTTTTACAATATTAAAAATTGAACAATAGGTAGGTATTTATACACGTGATCGATAGGTTTCGAAATTCAACGTTATCGAAAGAATTATTTCTTCCCCTTTTTATATTTCCTTTCACATGTATTATTAATTTTTGTTTCGTCAGCATACACATCTTGCTACATTCTCTATAATTTCTTGTTTAGAATGTATATATTTAAATTTCCTTTGTTTACAGTTGCTAATAAGCTTAGTCACTGATATGACCTTAACCTTATATACGGTGTGTCCACGCTTATCTTAGGGTAACAAATGAGTATCTTTTAAAATATTGAAGATACTTTAATTGCAGATACTGTAATTAATAGAAGATACTAATAGAAGATACATTAATTCATATTCGTTTATGAATTTCTCAAACTATTCACTTAGGAGATATGACGGTCACTTTCGTTTAACTTTAAATAAATTCGAAAAATGATATAATAGAATAATATTGCAAGCTTCTTGTTAATTCGATTTTTTACTGCAGTTGAATACAAATTTAACAATCTGCAAACCATAAATACTTGACTCTAAACGGGTTTCGAGATATTCCACGCAAAAGTTTACAAATAAAACGAAACTGGCTTCAATAGGAATATCGATGACGGTCAAGTAAATTTCCATTTTTATGAATAGAATTTAGAGAAACCAATATCGGATAAAATTCACTTTTTCTCGTAGGAAATTATTGGGTTTAACACACTGACGGATTAAAAGAAAAATCCAACTCTATTCAATTCGATTATGCTTCATATTCTACAATTTTTTAAACATCCTCAAATGTTGCAAATCTTTAAATATATACGGTCGAGCAATAAGAATAAACAATTAAGGAATAGAAGTAACAAGGAGAACAAATTTAGCACTCGATATGCAACATTAGTAAAAAATTAATAAAATCCACACTATGGTATGTATCATCGTTTTAAAATTATTAAAATGTTTTTAATTATTCGTGAATAAAGGAAACGTTTATTTTCACTTCACCGACGTTTTTACACGGGGAAACAAGTGATAACGGATATGATTCTTTTCGGATGCCTAATCCTTTGATATCAGAGGTCTTGAACAGTTTCACGCTCGACGTCACGCTGTGCAGGCGCGGGCTGTATCGGCAGGAAAGAGGAGGCAAAGAATTCCGCTCTTTGACGAGGAATTCCTATAGTGAATTCAATTTATACATGCATCGACGTGTACACCGCTAGCGCCGCTCTTCCGCGTAACGCGCCGCAGCAACAGCTTATTCTGGGGGATGTTTCCTATGCCCCCTGGTTTCATAAAAATACTTCGGTTTCCACAAACCCGAGCCACATATTAAAAACATTTTTACGATTTTCATCTTGCGCACTTTGAATTCTTCGATCGCGCGATTAACACGCCCCTTCAAGGATATTTGTTCGATCAAAATACATATTTCTTGTGAAGGGATATGTTCAGTATGAATTACTGTGAAAAAATCGGTGAACGAATGTGTTTGGTTTCTGAGAAAACGGAATTTCAAAATTTGACTGCATTGAGGAATTTCTTTGGAATTGTTTTCTCTTTGGGCTGTTAAATTTAGTCTGGTAGTACTTTGTATTGAAGTGTTTGTGTGATTTCGTTAGTCCGTTTTTGTGGAGAAATTGTGACAAATTATGTTTTGTTATGGGGTTCTACTTGTGTAACTGTTTTGGACAATTTTTAATTAAAAATTAGTAGAAATTAATGATATAATCGAAGCGTAATTGAACGGTAAGTATTTTGAAAATAAAAACGCTCATGAGGATCACTTGATTAATTACATAATTTTAATGTTTGTATCGATATAAATAATTATGTATTAATATTAAAAGGAATTTAATTGTTTATAGATGTATAAATTTGTATGCATTACTCGTTAGAAGACTGTACGCTTTAATAAATTTTAATACCTCATTAAGAGTTCTATCAAGTTTCATTTAAAATGAATGAAAGTCTCGCATTAAACGAAAGGAAATGTATACAATAAGAAGTTCATTAATACATATACGAAGTATTTGAGTAGTTTCAGCTGTAGGAAATTATGTCAACACTAATAAATTACGATTTTTTATAATATAAAGAAGTATACAAATTTCATCCATGAAACAGCCATGTGTCATAAATAATACAAATAAAAGTGTCCTCAATTCGAACAACGTGCGCTGCATCATTTACGAGATGATAAATTAGAGAGTTCGCGTAATAAAGGTATTCTAGGTATGTCTAATCTATATCTTTTTAATGAAATGATTTTCTTTTTCGGAATCTATATCAGGCAACTGAACAATTTGATCAAGCCATCCGAAGAAATTGTCCGATGCTTCAGTAAAAAAAAGGTGGAAAGAAGGGGGAAAAACGAGAGGAAGTGTAATCTTCCATCGTGATAACGCAAGGGCCATGTGTTGCAAAATTGACACTCCAGAAATTGGAAAAGGCGAAATGGGAGGTTTCGTCCCTCCCGGCGTACTCTGTCGATATTGTTCTCTCGAATTACTACATCCGCGGCGTAATTCACCGAAATTACAAAAATACAAGAGCAAACAAGTCCGCCTGTTCCGTTCTTCTTTTATGTATAATATGTATCGTGAATCTAAATAAAAGATCGAGACTGGAAAATAACATGACAATTATTACATCAATAATTGTCATTGAACTGTTAGTATTTGTACACTGAAAGAAATTTACAACTCTTTAGTTTTTAAGTATCAATTATGTATTTTGGTTTAACATTTAGGACAATTGAATGTTTTTTGTTACCTGGTCATGGAACTGGCAAACGAATGGCCAACAAATGCATGCTTCCAGCTAATTCACCATTGACTTCTATTTAAACTTAAATTACTAAATTGCAATTATAATGCTGCCAACGCAGGTATAAATTAAATAAGTTCAATCCAATGTAATAAACTACATTTTAATTAAGCTTACATAATTTGTTACTTCTATAATCATTCAGTAATTATCTAAAAAAAGAATTTGAACAAAAGCAGACAAATATAAGACTAAAAAAAGAAAGGAGTTAGAAAAAAGAGAGTTATCAAACTCCTGTTCCCATTCGGGAAATATCAGTATAAAATGATTAGAACACAAATCAATTAAAGTTCGCGTATCAAAATCACTTTACATTGCTACATTCTCTACGGAGAAACTATTAGAACGAGTCAAACTTGACCCAGTAACGTCGAACCGATGGTTAAAGGGAATCGGAAGAATCCTCATTACGAGGAAACGAGTCCCGACCCAATATTATTTCCAATTACACCTACCGGTCGTCCCTGCCTATGCGAAAAACGAACGCAGGAAAAGGAGAGAGCGGAAGAAAGAAACACGAAAGAAAAAGGAAAGAAACAAAACGTTCATTTAACAGTGGTTCTTAATCGGTGTTCCATGAGTTTGTTACACGTGTTTCGCAGGTGTCGTGATAGGTTACGAAAGAAGTGAGAGTGTGATTCGTTATATCGACATTTCCCGTGTTTTTAAACGTGTAGTAGGAAAAATCAGCTACCTTGCAGGTAAATAAACTTAACAATTTACTATAATCACAATTTTCTAAACAAAAGATTCAATGATTACACATAGATTTATTTGTCATTGCACTCGAAAGGCCTCTTTAAGGGCACTTTTCTTACTAGTCAA